TAACGTGGAGTATCCGGAGCAGTTCACGAGGAAAAATTTCCTTTTCAGATTTTTCAGTGATCTGGAGATTATTCAGGTTTTTAATAGCATTCTCTTTCAGATTTTCGATGCACCCCAAACATTCCTTTTTCGGTATCATTCCATGCAATTAACAAGTAGTACTTCATTTGTTGTGACCACTGTTTTATTGCCTGATGGTCGGCCTGCTGGCGATCCTGACGTTCGTTTCATCTCTCCAAGGGAATCCCTAGCTCAGTGGCTGCCGCAACAGAAACTGTTGACCAAATATTTAACTGTTTCGGGATTTATGTATTTTGGGCATTACGGTTTCCTTGTAAATGTCATCGCTCGTAGACTACGATGAGATAAGACTGTAATCGTGCATCAGGAAGTTTATAAAAATTAGCATATTTCATTTTAGCCGGTCGATTTGCACAGTAACTTCAGTGAACGGAGTTTGATGAAAATTTTGGGTTTTTTTATCCTGCTTCTGCTTTTGAATCTATCAGATATGTGAGAAATAAGACAAAAAGTGGGTGCAGCACCCTTTGCCTCATGCTGGGTTTGAACCAGCGACCTTCTGTTTACGAGACAGACGCTCTGCCACTGAGCTAATAAGGCTATGAGAAAATGGGATTCAACGGAGTTGATGAACAAAAGATATGAGGAAGGATGTTGGTTAAAACCAAAAAGTCCGGCATGCCTCATGCTGGAATCGAACCAGCGGCCTTCTGTTTACAAGACAGACGCTCTGCCCCTGAGCTAATGAGGCTTGGTGTGGTGAACCTCAGTTGTAACTCATAATTTTTGGGTAAAATATTGCTGGAAACTTCAGGCAGGACTCTAAAAGTGCTGTTTTTGACTTGTGTTGAAATTCGGCCCTTAAATGCTGAGGGCTGATTCCTAGCTGAGCCGGAATCTGGTAAAATATATTTGCATCATTCCCTTTAAGCTGGGCCGGTCACGTGACAAGAATGAGAAACAACAGGCGGACAAGGCGGATTACTGAATGGTACTCGCGCAGCTGTCGAAAAAATGAAGGAAAAGCCGCTAATGTGGCTAAAGGAAGCGCCTGAATGTAGAACTACAGTGACGTGGCGCTAGTGACAAAACCTGCGTGTGTTACAGACCCAGGATCTCGGTGTTGTGTCGTGGATGTGAATGAGTGCGCCTAGTATAAGTGTGTGTCTAATGTGAGGTATGTGAGGGCGTATGTTGTGCAGCCGAGAGTGAGCCAAGACGCGCTGCAGGGATGACGTTGAGACGAAAACTGGAACTGAACTGCCTTATTCTATCCTAAGACACGTTTGTATAGTAACAGAAGCCACACCTCTTCAATCACAGATACTGATCCGCGGAGTAACAAACAAGGCCCAGACAAAGCCAGGATACCACAAACAAGGAAGTTTGGCGCTGTCACAAAGGACCGATGCTGATTCTCGGAACATCTGGAGGCCATGCGAGTATTCGACCAGCTGGTAACATCAACAGCCCCATTAATCACCGATATCCAAAAACGGATTTTTGTGATGGTCTAAGTACTTCCATTTACAGTCGAGAGACCATCTCACCCCTTACACTGTGTGGTGAGGGGATCCGGAACAGCTCTACTAGTCGTAACGATAAGGGACCGAACGATCGAAGTATTAAATACCGAACGATCCGTCCCTTAATATATCCAGCCCGATTTCAGCTTTCTAAATTTCCTTTCAAAACAACTGTCGCTTTGTTGTAGCGTTTATTCTCACCACTGATGCAGCTGATAACTTCACTGTTCCTCTTTATTTTGCATAGATGTTTCTGTCAACGTTTCACCGGCTACGGTAATGACGGATTCCAGTAACAATACCAGCATGGAATACCCACACTGACTGCCCGGGTTCGGAGCAGTCCTGGTATTCCCGGGGAATGCTTCCAGCCCAATAAAAGTCTTTTGCGATTTTGATATGATATATGTCACAGTTTCGTCGTCGATGTAGCTAACAGCCCTTCGCTTTTGTTCGTTCCTGAGCTTATCGCAAATCAGCGTTCAAGTGAGTTTTCTCATATCGTTGGCTTGTGGCTAAGGGCAGGAAGTGACCTTCTGATGTCTGCTTAGCACTACATCAGAGCTGCTTGTCACATAATATATCAAATAATGATTTGCGGTTTTTTGTTAAAAATGGCATAAAGAACAATTGTGTCATTGTGATGCAATACCCCGGTCCCTGGTTCAAAATTTTGGACACCCCACCCTTCCTAAAGCTT